CCAGGTAGACCAGTACTTTGAGATCGTAAGTGTATGGGGAATGCTCCTAAAATTATGTCTAGAAGTGGGCAGTTATGGGCGTGTGTGTGTGTGTGTATTGGCGGGGTGGTCACCAGTGTATCTGAATTATTTTGAGGTTTCCCCATGAGAATAATGTCTGTTAGGTCAAAGTTATCATGAGAGGGTCCCTAGAGTCCATTAAACTCAGACAGCTATTTTTCTTCTATCGCTTTAGAAGGCCTAAATAAATCTTACTTTTCTACTATCATTCACAGTATTTTTCTCTTCAAACTAGGATTTTAAGCCACATGACTTACGAGAAATTTTATGCAATTCATGCCTCTATTGTGTGAATAGTATCATATAACTATATAGACTTGTTTTTAATCCTACTCTTATACTAACTATAAAATATATGAGCAAAATTTTGCTTGGTTTTTTTTAACATGTTTATTTATTTCTTTAAGTTCCCTGAGCAAAAAAAAAAAAAAAGAAACAAACAAACAATCCCACGGAAATATGTATGTATAATAATGTTGGGTAAGATTGATGCTGGTCTGTTTATATTATAGTATATTAATTTAGGAAGACTGCAATACTCCAAAAATTTAAATATTAGAGAAATGACTAAAAAAGCTTTAAATATGAACTGATAAAGCTAATAATCATGGTAAGAGTGCTGCTGCTGATGGTAATCACAGAGATAGCATTATGTTTAAATAGGAAGAAGAAACTCTTTAACAACAATTTAAAGTTTCCTTCTTTCTGTGCCTATATTATAACATATGCAAATAATACTAGAAAATGGTCACAGCTTTTGGTGAATAAACATTAACCCTTCGATCATTAAGAAAAAGTGTTTCATATACATCTAACAGCCAATTTGCCAGGATAAAAAGAAACGAAGTAGTGATAAGTGATATGTGCTACAACATGGATGAACCTGAAAAACTTTATGCTCAGTTAACGTCAGACACAAAAGAACACGCTTATGTGGTTCTGTTCGTAAGAAATCAATTGAAATAGGTATTCCATTCATTTCTGGGAATTCTAAAGCTACTGTACTCCAATGGTTTTTAGGAAAATTAGGTTTAGGGATTTCAAAAGATCCTCATATTGGCTATTGATATCCTAAATTGCTTTTGGTTAGGTTGGTACATTGTTAGATATAATGCATGAGGAAGGACTGCAGTTCTTAAATATAAAATTGGCCAGAGTCCCTGTAGGCGAGGCACCCACGAAATATTTCTCAGGCATTTTTCTCTAGAGTTAAATAACAATGTTCAAACAGCTTAAACAGCTTGGAGCTCAAACAGCCTGCAGGCCTAATACCAGCCAGTTCTTAGGGGAACAGCTTAGTCCAGAAGGAGTCAGACTTTTCAGCTTATTTCCACAGAACAGCCCCTATTCCAAAGGAATAAGCCAGTGGTTGAACCGGTACAGTTTCAGTGAAATTGCCCCTCTTTCCAAAGGATTGAGCTGAGGCTCTCAGCCAGTTTCAGTTGAAACAATCTAATCAGACTGAAGTATCCAATGAGTACTCACACACAGAACAAGATCTTAACCAGAAAGGATAAAACCTTGAAACAGATTCCAAATAAAGCCTAAAGAGCTTCAAATATAAAGAAGGGATGAGTTCAGATCCAGAAGAAATATATACCTTCAAACTCCAGGGTTGGCAACTAAAGCAGTGAGCTCAGTGAGCTCAGTTATGGGTATAACACCTGTTTGCTCACCAGCTCCAGAACCTTTGGGTTTTTTTCTGGGCCCTCTATAGGCCACCAAAATGTTCATCTAGAACAAATAAACTGCTAGATATTTCTCCAGAAAAGATGGGTTTATTCGAGATCAGCAGAGAATTGCAATTTGGCATTTGCAACCCTGGCGAGCTACATGCATGAACACCCTCACACAGCAAGGGAAAGAGAGCTCTTTTATAAAAGGGAAAAGGAAGTTGTGAGAACTACAGTAAACAAAAAGTCAATGGCGTTTCATTGGTTGAGTCTTTACTAGGAAAGAAGAAGGAGCCTGTCTTATTCCTGTTGGGTTATCTTCACAGAGCATGGACGTTCTCCCTTCTGGTTTCCTAACTCTCTAGAGTGTTTTGTTTATTAATTTTTTACACTCTGTTTGTACTTAAGTTTTAGAAATTTCTATTGGCATATATAATTCATCAATTTATTCCTCAGCATTTCCAGTCTATTTATGTGTTCATCAAAGTTCTCCTTTATTTCTATCATGTCTTTTTTATTAATTTCTGACATTTCCTTTGAATTCTTTTATAAAATTTCCATCTTCCTGCTTACATTATCCATCTGTTCCTCTACGTCATATACTTTTTCTATTAGTTCCCTTACCACATTAATCATAGTAATTTTCAATTCCTTGTCTATGAATGTGACTCATATATGAATCTGGTTCTGATGTTGTCTTTATTTCCTCAGACTGTATTTTTTTCTTGCTTCTAAGCATGATTTGTAAATTTTTTTAAAAAAGATGGACAAAATATATTGAGTAATAGGTACTAAGGTATGAAAATATTTAATGTGTGACTTTATGTTAATCTGCATACAATTTGGACTGTTTAACATTTGCTATAGCTGCATGTGCTAAGGTCTCCAAATTCCTCTATTTTTCTGTCTGTCTTCATTATTGTCTTTGGGTTTTCTAAGAACTCCCTACATAGAATCTGTGTCTTGCAGCTTTTTCAGCTGTAAACCACTGTTAATATACTGAGCCCTATTGATATTGTGGTAAAGAGTGGGTTAGGGAAAGCATTCTACAATCTTATGGTAAATCTCTGATTTTTGGTGGGCCTGAGTCTTCAGGTTGTGACATTCACCAGGGTTTATTTACAGCTCCCTTCCTTTTACATGAGACAAGAAGACTAAAGAGGTTAAAATTAGTAATTCTCTTTCTTTCTTTCACCTAATAGAGACAGGATCTGATAAAGATTTTTTCACTGGAGAGTAGGTCTTTATTGTGGACAACACACTGGGTACATTTTAAAATGTTTAACTTTACCCTCTACCTGCTAGAGCTGCAAGATTATTTTTTAATTTGATTTTCATCTTGAGAACTTTAGGGGGCTTCTGGAAGTAAAGTTCATGAAAGTATGCCACCATAATATTACAGGCCCCAGAAGCCTTTAACTCTCATGTTAAGCCACACTGAGCCCCCAGAAATTTATATAAAATGCTGGTTAAGTATTTCTACAAGTTTATGGTTCCCTCAGTCTCTGTTCTAGGGAAACTGATGTTGGTTGTCATTCTCTTTATTTATAGAAAATAATATTATAATATATAAAATACAAATATATATTTATTTATGTTTCTCTCTGTATTTCCGGGTGGTGGTTCATCCTGGGACTTTAAACTCTGGTGGGTTCAAGAAAAGTCATGATTTTTAGTTTGTTTGTATTTTTTGTTATTTCTCCTATAAAAATGAATGTGATAACTTCGAGTCTCTGTATGTCAGAACTAAAAGCATGAATCTAACAACTTGATTTTGAAATCAAAAAATAAAAATACAATTCTAATTACATTTAAAAAATCAAATATTCAAGGTTAAATGTGAAAAAAAAATTGTACTAAATTTGTACAGTGAAAACTCCATAATACTAATGGAAAAATCAAAGAACATACAAGTAAATTAATAAATACTACATTTTCATGAATTAAAAGATATCTAAATTCTTCTCAATTTGATTTTTAGTTTCAACACATTCTCAATCAAAATATCAGCATGTTTTATGCACATATTGGCAAGTCCATTCTAATATTTATATGTAAAGTTAAATAAATTATAATAGCAGGAACAAATTTGGAAAAGAAGAACAAATTTGGAGAACTTGCTCTATTAGATTTAAGACTTTTTCAAAATAAAGCAACAGTAGTCAAGGCACTGTGTTATTTGTGAAAGGATAGACACCTAATAGAACAGGGATCTCAGATAGATCGCATCAATATATTAAATCGATTTCTGGAAAAAGTTCAAAGATAATTCAATTGAGAAAGAAGAGTCTTTTCAAAAAATGTTGTTGTAAGACAAAAATAATCTTGACACCTTATGTACAAAATGGGCCCTAAAGGTAAAATGTAAAAATTTTAGAAGAAAACATACAAGAAAATCTTATGATCTTGGGTTTGACAATGAGTTTGTAGGTATGACAAAAACAGTACAATCCTTAAAAAACTGGCCTCTATAAAAATTTTTTTAAAACTGTATTTCATAGAGTTAAATAAATATCTACCATATGATCTAGCCATTTCATTCCTAGTTATTACTCAGGATCAAATATTGGGTTAGTACTGTTTGAAGTGTAAGCCTTTTTATATCTTTTAGAAAGATACAAGAGATAAAAATATTGTGAGGGTCAGAAAAGATAGAAATCTTGTACAGGATAAAGTGATACATGAAAATAGAGAACAGAAATAAAGTACAACAATAAAATAGGTAAACAACTTACAGAGTGGCTAAAAACTGTGGAATGTGACAAAAGCATTCTGATTTCACTTAGTTAGGTTCCTCTTGGCTAATTTTGCTTTATGCGAAGTTAGGTTACTTTAGCCAGCCCATTTCCTTTGGGATCTTATGATACTTTGGTGATAGTAAAAGGAGCACTGTGGTACCCAAGAGAAAAATTACCCATGCATTTCACACTTTCCTGATGATACTGCCAGCCATGGCAGCAGTACACACCTGTGGGCATATATTATCTTCCTTTACAAATAAACAGATCTCAGAAGTCTCCCAGCAAATCCCATGACCCTGTTAACATTATTGTTTCTGCATAAAACCCTCTAGTTTGCTGGTATTCTCAGTCACTAGCACTGGGAAATCCATGTCTAGACAACTGGTTCTTGCCCTAAGGATAGTAAACAATCAAGTCTCTATTTTGCTTAGTTCATAACATTTAAAGAAATTGTATTATATTTTATTTTCTTCTCAAAAGCAGACAATTACTAGAAATTAGAGGATCATAAACTCATCTAATTTTTAATACCTCTCTAGGAAGATTTTTAAGCCTCTATTAATGTCTGCTATCTCTACCCTGAACTTCAGTAGTTCCAGATTTATTCTCACTGGTTTTCCTGGCCTAGAAGTTCATTATCTTTGGCTCTCCATCCCTTTCTCCTCCATCTATGCTATGGTTTTCCTGGGGAACTGCATGGTGCTCCACGTGATCCGGACTGAGTCGAGCCTCCACCAGCCCATGTTCTACTTCCTAGCCATGCTGGCCCTTACTGACCTGTGTGTGGGGCTGTCCACCGTGTACACAGTGCTGGGAATTCTGTGGGGGCTCATTCAAGAGATCACTCTGGATTCCTGCATTGCCCAGTCCTATTTCATCCATGGTCTGTCCTTCATGGAGTCCTCTGTTCTCCTCACTATGGCTTTTGACCGCTACATTGCCATTTGCAACCCTCTACGCTACAACTCCATCTTAACTAATAACAAAATTATCAAAATTGGGTTGGCAATCTTATGTAGGAGTTCTTTACTCATACCTCCAGTCATTATCCGCCTCAAGTTCTTAAATTATTGTCGTCCCCACATCCTTTCTCATTCTTTCTGCCTGCACCAAGACTTAATACGAATGGCCTGTTCAGATATTCGCTTCAACAGCATCTATGGTCTGGCCCTGGTGATCAGTAACCTGTTGTTGGATGCAGTGCTCATAATTATCTCCTATATCATGATCTTACATGCAGTCTTAGCTATTGCATCACGAGAGGAGAGAATCAAATCTTTGCAGACCTGTGTATCTCACATCTGTGCTGTTTTGGTATTCTACATCCCAATCATTGGTCTGACCATGGTTCATCGTTTTGGGAGACACCTCTCACCTTTGGTTCATGTCCTTATGGGAAACATCTACATCCTTTTCCCACCCTTGATGAACCCCATTATTTACAGTATCAAGACCCAGCAAATACGAAGGAGGGTCCAGAGATTGTTTCACTTGAAAGGAATGTAAGTCTTGACATCAAATGTGGATGTATTTAAAAGTCAACAACTGGAGCTCAAAAGGGTAAGAGTCAGTAAATAATTAAAATATGTTTAATGACTTTAATTTGTATGATGCTTTTCACGTTACAAATATCTTTCTCTGTATTTTTTCTGTAATTATCATGTCAGTGAAATTGAGATGGGTTATGTTGTGATTAATTCTGTAAATCAGAATATACACATATAATAGGCTCAGAATCATAATGATGTATGAGGCAGATTAGCTATTAAAATTCACTTTACAATGGCCAGTTGAGGGAAGATAATTTGGAATTCATTCAATATGAAAAACATAAGTTTTGCTGATTAAAGTCCTTAAAATAATTACCAAAAGATCAACAATTATTTCAGTTGATTTTCACTACTCTAGGCAACATTCTTGTTTATAGTTTAGCCATTGTCTCTGCTATGCAGTTTAGCCACATGGTCATGTAATTGAGTAAACATCATAGAGAGTTTAGGCTATCTTGCTAATTTAAAAATTAGTCAAATAAACAAACAATAGAAAACTAATCTTAATGCTGGGTTGTCCATCAGCCAAACAATCTTTCTCCACTCTCATCCTATGAAGTGTAATTGAACTGGAAGCACAATCAGTAATTGCTGGAGTTGGAAAAAAGTACTTCTGTGATTAGATTTTTTATCCAAATAATAATACAAATAGCCATTCCACTTGAAAACTATTTGAAAGTGTTTCCTATGAGTCCATAGCTTATTTAAATCCTCTATCTGTTATTAAAAAAGAGAGAGAGAGAGAGAGAATGCATAGAGTGTTACTATGGTCAAGTAATGTAAATATGGTTCTAATTTATCTCCCCATCAAGACTGTGGTGGATACCATTTTCTATAACATACATGGATAGTTCAAAACACACAAAGGTTAAACGATATGTCAAATTTTTAGGAGGTGGTAGGGGATCAGATTTAGATATATTCTCTGTTTTATTTTCGAATTACGTGAAAACTCTTTCTTATCTTCCCTCTGTAAGTTTTAATATAAAATTGGTTAAATGGTTCTGCAACCATCACAAAAATTTATAAAATAAATAAAAGTGAAAAAATAATAAAGTAAATCATGGATGGTAATATGTACTCATTTGGACTCTGCTGGTATGTGTAAAATTACTTAAAATATTGTTATAATGATTCTTAAATAGTCTACTATATATATATTTAAGGCAAGTTTTTTTGAAATGTAATTTCAAATGGTAATTTCACTGTTTAGATGTACATGAACAGTCTGATGAGCTCTGAAAAATGTTTACTGTCATGTGATCACCACCATAATCAATCAAGATACGGAATATTTCCATCACCCTACAAGTACCCCATTTTGCTTTTAAGAGAAGCATGTAAATTCAGTCATAAATAATGTAATCTTTTATGTCTGGATTCTTTCACTTGGAAAAATAGTTTTGAGATTGATTCCTGTTGTTGCCTGTATCCACAGCTTATTTTTATGATTGAATCCTATTCCATTGTATCACATACAGCAGTTTATTTATTCATTAATTGATGGACATTTTAGCATCTTATAGTTTTGATTTTGAATAAAGCAGTTATAAAACATATATACCATATGATTATAAAACTATTTCTCTAATATTGGTACAGTTTATTTTTAATGCTCATATATTTCCTATTAATAATACAATAAACATTACATATATATCCACTATATATAGTATGTGTCTATGTATACGTGTTTGTGTGTGTGTGTGTATATATATTCTGACTGATTTCAACTAATTCTTTCCTTATAGTAATACATCCCAATTTTAGCAACTTCTACTTATTGAAAAATAATGCTAATGCATTTTTGGCATAAGTTAAGCTTTTTTTCCACTATACCACATTTAAATCAATTCCCACCCCAACATGACTCTGCAAATGTGCAAACTAAATTTTATTACTATATTTATAAATTATTACTAACATTTATTATGTTCTGTATATTATTATAAGTGCTTCTTATATATTTCCTCAATTTAAAGAAAATGGGTACATATATAAATCAACTTTCCTAAGAATTTGTAGTTAGAAACAGTGCAGCAGAGATTTGATTACTGGAAGTCAGACTCCAGAGACTGTCCTCTTAGTTGCAAGCTTATACTGTGCCCTAATGCCTGAAACTAGTACTTCCTGATTAATTACATGAAAATGATTGTACTCACTAAAATTATTTAAAGTGCTATGCTTTTCCATTCTTAAGTTTTACTATGAGTCTATGTATTCTCCACTATTTTGTCTTGTAATCTCCAATGACAATTACATTTCCCTGACTCCTCTATTAATAGTTCCTTTTATGAAATACATTTCTTCAGTTTCCCCCTGGTATGTCAGATGTACATTCTAAAGTTCATTTTAAGTAATATGATATCTATATATCTAGGATACTTTTTATAGACTGCTGTATTAAGACACCTAAGCAAGGAATCAGTAGATTCCTACGAGAACCCTTACATAGTTCCAAGACACTAACTCGTCTTCTCTTTGTAGAGAACTCTATTTTTTCTGAATTCCTGCTGAATTTTCTGAGGCTGGTTCTTTCCTCTTGGAATGGTAAATCTTTGCACTTGCTGGATCCACTTGGACAATATTCTCCTTCTGAGACCTCATTGATTCTCTTACTCAGTTATTAGCTCTCACAACCCTCCCTGTGTCTATGTCTACACGGCCATTTTACCCCTTACCATTCCAATCCTATTGTTTTTAAAAATATGCAGTTGGATCATGGACTAGCCTTCTTTAGAATCATTGCCTCTGTAACTAGTAGCCTGTTTCTTTAACCTGGTTCTACAATTCTAATTAAATTACTTCCCTTTTTATTTTTATTATCTTACCAGTGGATGATCTTACTTTCAGATTTTTTTAGCTTCTCTGTAAACCTGGAGGATCCCTGAAGAGTACTCTTTGGATTTTATCAATTTAAAGAAAACATCTAAAGGGTTCACACTGTGCCAAATAGGCATGGTGTTTGACAGTGATCCATGCTTTATCCATTTCATTTAATCTTCAAGAATACTGATGTTTATGAGATTCTGGATCTGAGTTTAAGAAGAAAGGATATTGGGGATTCTGAATCTGCTAACACATGCTCCTAAGGAGGGTATTTCCTGTGACTTTTTCTCCTGCCTTGTACACCAACACTGCAGCACCCACCCAGAGCTATAACCGAAGCTTATCCAAGGCTCCAGAAGGTCTATACTTGTGAAATGCTATTTGCTATCAATGTCTGTGGCTAACAATACAGCTGTAATTTAAATCTGTGAACTAATATATGAGAGGGTGATAAGAGCTTGTGAGGTACTTAGCTCCACAGGAAGACATGTCCAGGAACTTAAAAATGAATTATGTCCTGTGTTAATTACTTTATACAATTTGGTGCTCACAAAATACCATTTACTTATAATAACCACCCAACAAAATGGCTACTAGTATACTCTCCATTTCACACATGAGGAAACTATGGAGTAGGTTGAATAACTTGTCCAGGGTCACAGCTAGTATCTAACTAAGTGGAGATATTCAAACTCAGATTGTCTTGCTGTAAAATACCTTTAATACCACTTCATTTCTCACTTGTGACCAACCCCTTCTTTAAACTTTCTTCTCATTTGGTTTCCTTGGTCCCATTATATTCCTGTCTTCCTACTACATTCTCGGTTTTGTTTTTTTTTCCAGTGCTGTTCTTACTATTATTTGCAGTGTTGATGTTATTATCATCATTATTATTATTACTCAGTGCCACTTCCTGTGTTGAGAGTAAGGTGTCAAAAATATTAGACCTTCACTAGCACCTAGTGAAAAATATTAGGTCTTCACTAGTGTCTAGTACAATTGCAAGGAATTAGTGAGGATGAAGTCTGACCACAGATTGCAAGATGCTGGATGTGTAACAGCTGAAAACAGCAATAATAAGCAACTTTTGAGAAGACTGGGGCTGAAGAAAAAGAAAACAGTAATAAACAGGATCAAAAGGTACTGGGAAATCTGCTTTTGAACAAAAAAGATAAACATGTCTGTTAAGGTCAGAGAGTCTGGTAGTGAAGAAGAATTTGAAGGAAGAAAGTGAACAACTTGTGGAATTAAGTTCCCATCACGACAAAATACAAATCATTCAGGTTATTTTGTGGGTGTTCTGCTGCTTCTTCTGCGGCAAAAAGGAGTCAGAAAAATGATAAGGAGTATATGGGAGATTTTCAAAAGACTCACATTTGATCCAGATCTTTATAATAAAATAAAAGGCAATGTTTATTAGAGTTAGTGCCAAAACTTATGTGAAAAAAAAAAAGGAGAGAGAGAGAGATACAAAAGAGATACAATTGAGGAAAAGGTGTATAGAACAGAAATGAATGAATAAACAATTGTCCAACAGCTGTGAAGGCTACTGAATGGAGGGGAGAGAAAGATTTTTAGTAGAGCTGACGGCATCCTGGCAGAAGAGGCTACACATGACCAGAGACAACTGATTTTTCTTCACCAGCTTTCAATTTTCCAGAATCAAGAAAAGTTAAACAGAAAGAGAGAAGGGGCCTAATCACAGGAGAGCATTGTTTGTCTAGCACTTGAAGGAAATGATGAGTAGATGGACAAGTGGTTCTTAAAGATCAATAAGATGCCAAGGAACCAAAAGACAAAGAGCAGGTTTGTTCAGGGTGTGATGTTTTGCCCTCTTCATCTGACAGTAATCAGGTAAGAGATTCTGTCCTGGGTCCTTCCAACCTCTTTCCTCTCTGACTGCGGGTCTGCAGTTGAGCTTCCTCATTCATATCTTTTTCTCTTGTGCCCACTCTATTCATTTTCCTTTCAGAAGTAATGAGGATACCACGTTTTAAATGAACATGTACTAATATATTAAAATAAAATCTGTAAAGGTATTATTGTTCACAATATCCATATATCATAATATCCATTGTTCACAATATCCAGGCCTCAGGAACTTAAAAAAAAACTTTATTTACTTTA